ATATATATAAAGTCACAACCCCTGGTATGCCCAAATATGGGAGGAAGGTCACACTTCCATTCTCTATCCTTCAGCTCGTCACAAGAGACCATCCAGACAGAAACCCAATATTTTTTACTGTTGCCTTTTTGTTACATTTGTTATATTTGTGCTGATAAATAAATAAAGGGAGACTAGTATAGATCTATTTCAAGCTATTTAGCTCTCATCAAATCCCAGTAAGGGTATGGCTAGCTGATATATATAAAGTCACAACCCCTGGTATGCCCAAATATGGGAGGAAGGTCACACTTCCATTCTCTATCCTTCGGCTCGTCACAAGAGACCATCCAGACAGAAACCCAATATTTTTTACTGTTGCCTTTTTGTTACATTTGTTATATTTGTGCTGATAAATAAATAAAGGGAGACTAGTATAGATCTATTTCAAGCTATTTAGCTCTCATCATTCCCAGTAAGGGTATGGCTAGCTGATGACAGCTAAATAGCTTGAAATAGATCTATATTAATCTCCCTTTATTTATTTATCAGCACAAATGCAACACACAAACACACACGTATGTATGTATGTATGTATGTATGTATGTATGTATGTATGTATGTATGTATGTATGTATTTGCATGCTGGTACTCTCTGCTGGATAGTCTAGGATAGGTGTGTCAAATTCAAGACTTGAGGACCAGATCCGGCCCACAGGGTGCTTAGATCTGGCCTGCAGAGCTGCCCTGGAAACAGCGAAGGATCGGTCCTTGGTGCCTGCCAGCAAAAATGGAGCTCGGGGAGAGCTGAAGAAGGCAGTTGTGGCTGAAAATGGGGCCTGAGGGGGCGCCCGCATGGCCCACCCAAGTGCTGTTATTGCTGGCAGAGGACTGCACACGGCCCACTTGAGCTCCATTTTTGCTCGCAGAGGGTTGCAGGAGGCCATCATAGGCGAAAGAGCTCGGGTTCCCGTTTGCACTGGCAGAGCGCTCAGGCATCTCCGATATAAGTAACCTCAAACTGGCCATGTCCACCTTGGCCGTGCCCCCCACCCAGGTCAAGCACAACCCTGATGCAGCAGTCGACTTTGACGCCCCTGGTCTAGGAACTGCTGTAAGGGTGAGATGTGCTGAACTTTAGATTAGGCTAGAAGGTCTCTCTAAAATAGTGTCCTAAGCAGGTGGTTGAGGAAGGCCATCAGGAATTCTATAGCTCTGAAGGAACAGGAGTCTAGAGTCCAGCACCTGATACCATCTTCTCTGTTATTGCAGATCTGCTGACAAGTAATATCAAGGATGATATCGTCTGTGCCATGCGGATTGCACAAGGACCCAGAGGCCTGGGATCTTGGTAAAATCATTTGGGGCAGGGGCAATGATCCCTTTTAAGACAGGCAAGCAGATGCACAAAGCATGATAAATTCTTAGCAGCAATTGGGCTGGTCTGAGAATTATTGGGCCAGGAGGCAGTGATTTTTGGGGGGGGTATAGGGGCTAGCAAGTGCACAATATACTTTATGTATAAAGCTCTCTAAATTATTACTTTTTTTAAATGAGAAGTTAAGATTTTTATTCACGGGAGTACATAATTTTGCACAAATTACAAAGTAACTTAAATAGGAATGCTTGAATTTCATATTGTTTTTAATCAAATCTATCAGTGATTATTTTTAATAGCAGCATGACCAATTGCTGATTTATTTATAGTTTTTGTTGTGTGTGTTCTTGTCACTTTTCCAGAAAAAAAAGTTGCTATATCTATTAAGATGGATACATATGGATAGATATATCCATCTTAATAGATATAAAGAATCAAGGTCAACTTTGAATCTAAGTTTTATATAGGATAGGTCACATTTTAAGCAATGTTTTCAGGATGCCATTTTTCATCTTTTCCAGTAGAACAAATGTAAACTTGCGCTTTGGGGAAAAAAATATGGATTTTTTCATTATATGCATTTTTACTTCTGATACGTCTTTCTCATCTTGCAGAAATTTGATTATGAGCCTGGCTCACAGATGACAAATTCAGAATCTTTGCACACTTACATACCAGATTTTGAATTTCTTCATTCCCCAAAATGGATTCTTGATCTTGTAATGTTGGTATTTAAAATGCAGCCCATTCTTTCAATTGGCCATCCAGATAGTTACATCAGTGGTGGGATTCAATTTTTTTTACTACCGGTTCTGTGGGCGTGGCTTGGTGGGTGTGGCAGGGGAAGGATGCTGTAAAATCTCCATTCCTATCCCACTCCAGAGGAAGTTTACTGCAAAATCCCCATTCCCTTCCAATCAGCTGGGACTCGGGAGGCAGAGAATAGATGGGGGCGGGGCCAGTCAGAAGTGGCATTTACCGGTTCTCTGGACTACTCATAATTTCCACTACTGGTTCTCCAGAACTGGTGAGAACCTGCTGAATACCACCTCTGGGTTACATACTTCCTTAAAAATCACAGAACAGTATCATTACTCCAATGCTAATAATAATGTTTTCACTTTGGAGCTGACTTCCTATCCTGGCCTTAGCAAATTCCAAAGACTTGGCTGATGTAGTGCACAGTATACAGTATTTCTGCCAATTCAGCCAAATCAACATTTTCAACTACAGTAGCTATTCCATTCTTAACCTCCTTTGAGAAATACTGCACTAATGGTTTACATAGATTAGTTCTTTGACTGGAAAATATCTTGTTTAATGGTCTTCATAAGACTACCTCATATTCTGCAGTTTGGACCATTTCCTCAAATTGCAATTTCTTTACTGATGCCATATGGGATATCACATATACTGTGAAAACAGGTGTTTCTATATCCTTCAACTGAGACACATTTTTCCATCCATCTTCATTGCCTAGAACTGTTCAATGAGTTAGGCAATGTTGTTCAGTGAGATGTGGAATTTCCTTCTTGTGACACCTCTGTATTTTCCCTCTGTGACTCATGCCCCATGTGTAGTGAGCATTATCATCTTTAAAAAATTTTTTTTACAAACATGTAAAATACACACACACAAAACTTAGACGTACACCACATTTACATAATACAATATGAACAGGAGCGTCCTGTTCTTTCTAATAGCAAT